AAGGTGTGTGTGTGTGTGTGTGTGTATGTGTGTTTGCGGGAAGAAAAAAAGTGCTAGTGAATGTGTGCGCATGCGCATATGCCAAATACTTACACTGGGAGCAACTGAAATTCTGTTTAAAGTAGCCCAGCTTACAGGAGCAAAGCCCAAGGCTAGAGCAATAGGAATTCTCTATTGTGGAACATCGGCCTGTCGGGGATTCTTCATCGACATTACATTTATCTCCGAGACGTGGAGCCTTAGTTGTTGTTGATGTTGTCGTCGTTGTTGTTGTAGTCGTTGTCACAGGTGTTGTTGTTGTTATTGGAGTCGTTGAAAATGATGATGATGATGGTGGTGATGATGGTGGAGGTGGTGGTGTTGGTGTCGACGACGACGACGATGATGATGATGATGATGATGATGATGATGATGATGATGATGATGATGATGATGATGAGGATGATGATGGGGATGTGGACGAATGGGATGATGGTGACGGTGATAATGGTGGTGATGCTGACGGTAATGATGTCAATGGGGTTGTTGACGATGATGATGATGATGATGATGATGATGATGATGATGATGATGATGATGATGATGAAGATGATGATGATGATGATGATGATGATGATGATGATGATGATGATGATGATGACGACACTGTGGTGGGTGCTTGACTACTGGTGTGTAAGGACGTTGAGTTCTTCTTGCTTTTCGGCGTTTCGTTGTCCGGAGATACAGTGTACGTTGACGGACCAACAGTTGTCGCTGTATTAGTAACCTGTGTTGTTGAGTCATCGTGAGAAGGGATTTTTGTCCCCCGGCTCGTTCCCGTTACTACAGAGGACGAAGCTGTCCCTCCACGAGGCGTTATTCCCAAGGTAGGACCGCTACTGCTAATGCCAGTTTCCTCTTGGGTGGGAATATGGCTCTCGTGGGGTTCGGGTGATGTTGTCGTTTTATTGGAAGTCGAATATTCTTCTTTACTTTTTTGAGGCGATTCTGATGGCTTCTTTGTCGTAAGGGAGTTGACTGATGCTTCTAAGGTGTTTGACGGAAAAGGGGAAGTGATTTCTGGTTTTGACGACTTCGGTATTGATGGCGATGATGGCAACGACGATGACGATAATGATGAGAATGATGGTGAAGGTGAAGTTGGAGGAAAAAGCTGAACATCTGTTGAACTTTGAGTGTCAAAAGGAAAGGCACTGAATCTCGGGGTACTCGTTGCAACCGATACTTGCGTGTTTGCTGAAATTACTTTCCCGCTAATGTCACCTGGAAGCTCTGTTCCAGCAGTTGGTTTTCTTTCAATGTCACCCGGTTCCAGTGTCTCATCGACACTCGGTTCCAATAGAGTATGGATACTTGGTTGAACTGGAGCACTGACAGTCGGTTCTGGTGTCCCACTAACCTTTGGTTCCAGGACTTCTTTCTCGGGGTAATCGACTTCTTTACGAATACCCACCGAGTCGAACCCGGGGTTATCCGGCTTCTTTACCTCACCCACTTCTCCTGAAACCGGTTGTTTGCCAGGCTTACCTGGTCTAATATTCGAAACTGGATTCAGCTCATCCGGTTGTTTGGATTGGTAATTATTTGACTTAACCCTCGTCTCATAAAGTAATTGCTTCTCTTTGTCTTGCCCTTGGGAGTTTTCTTTTTGTTCGGGTGAACCAAGCTCGAAAGGAGTCGAATTGTCCTTTCTGCCGTGGCTTAGTCGTTCGGAATTCTCCGCTGGAGCGACATTTGCTTGACCCAACGAGACATCTTCGACGTCCTGATCTCCAGCCGCTTTCGAGAGAGACGATCCAACCAAAGAGTCACCAGAGCCCAGGATGAACTACAGAAAAGAAAGAGTCAGTTTTGTCAGTGTACCTTTCTCCTTCCGTCTTAAAAGTATAAACATGGCCTATAAAGGGTAGCGATTGTCCTTGATCGTTTTAGCGCGTAAAATTGGCAGCATGCACTGTTATGCTTTCCAGGAAATTGAGGTTGTTTCACAGTGTATCAGGTCTGTTGGAGTAATAATATTTATAGATTGTAAGGCGCATAAAGCTTGCTGTATGGCTGGTATTGGCGTTATGTAACTGTTAATTATAATTATCATCTATATACGGTCGATGGGGGTATAAATTACGCTTTTACAATTACTATTACAAATTAGTGTCCCTGGCCTGTGTCAGCCTAGATAATATCGTAGTACGCTATGGTGTAGAAGATCCAGGTTCAAATCTTCAAAGAGGCCTTCTTGAACTTTGGGGATTTAGAATATTGTCAAGGCTCTCTCTCTCTCTCTCTCTCTCTCTCTCTCTCTCTCTCTCTCTCTCTCTCTCTCTCTCTCTCTTTCTCTCTCTCTAAAATTATGTCAATTAACAAATAATAATTAAGGGTCTCCTCCCACTGGGCTGGGTAAAATCGGACATGCACGTAATATTCGGAGGAATCCGCTAATTAAAAAAAAATATCTACAGTGTTGAAAGATAATTTAACAGCATACCATATTATACCAAGTGCTCTTGCCTCTGTGGTTTCTGCATCTTTTTATCCGTTCATCCCGTCCATCTCCCAGCCCCCGCCCCCATCCCCCCCCCTC